TCACAGGCACACGCAAAGCTTGAAGGTAAACAAACAACGGCTTATCATAAGCATCTCATCGATGATTATTTACACAGTTGGCATTAAGAAGAACATATAAACGTGATCTGACTAACTTCTAGCAGCTAAATGTGTCTGGAAAAATATTCAAAGGTTTTTATTCTCACAAACCGCGCGGACGTAAATGCGTCTGACTGTTGTGATTGGCTAAAGCAGATGTCTCACGTCAGCACGTTCTAGACGTGCACGCGCTTATTACGGCATTCTTCCTTCTGCATTCACACAGCGCAGCATTCCGGCAAATTGCCGGTAATGTTACAACTTCTCTTTCCGGAAAATAGCCAGAACGAATTTACCGGTATTTTCAAAAAGGACCTGTTCACACATACAACCTTTCCGGAAAATTGCCGGCAATTTTCCGGAAAGGTCTGTATGTGTGAAAGGGGCTATTGTTTAGAGCAGCCTTACAGCAACATACAGTAGCAACAAACAACACACACACACACAAACAAAACCGAGAACGCCTTACCAATCTCATATTAGAATTATCAAATGGCTGGAATATGCCCTAGCAACCACATAACAACACCCTAAACCCATTTAGAACACCCTATCAACAACATGGCAACAAACACACACACACACAAGCAAGCAACAGCCATAATGCCTTACCAACCTAACAATAGCCTTACTAAAGGCCCAGAACACCCTAAACTCACTTTGCACCATCATAGTGACACCCTAAACTCTAAAGTACCACCTTAGCAACACACTGAACACACTAAATGCATCAGCATCCACCAACACACCACTTCTATAGTATATAGCCCAGTAAACCTTAGCAACCACACAACAATGGTCAGAACTCTGTTCCAACAAATGCAGTGTATCCCCAGCTTCTCAGTACCAAGATTTTCTGGATTTTCTGTGATGCCGGTGGAGTTTTCGCCTCTGAGAGACTGAAGAGTCAGCAGCGGCAGAAGCAGGTCAGATGAAGACTGGAGCAGGACTGATGAAAGGTTGAAGGAGGATGAAAGACGAGGGTAAAGCTCTGAAGAAACTAAAACCAGCGCTCTGAAAGCACACGACGGGGGGGCAAACAGCACACAAGAACAAAGACCGAATCGCCGAACAGATTGTTATAAATATAAGACACGGCGTCCTGAAGACATCAGCACATTTTCTGATAAAAGGCCTCAAAATGCCAACTTCGTGGTTTTTTTTCCTGTTTTGGTTCAGCAGAGTTCCAGGACATGACGTGTAATCAGGTTGAAATGCTGTCAGCAAGTAAACAAATTAAACTCCATTATAGCTGACAGTGTGGTGAGCTCCGTGCACTTTTGTTTTTGCACGACTTTGGTATTAAAATTAAAGAGATAGTTCACTCAGAAATATCATTTGTGCATGAAAAAAATCCGACTTGATATTTAAACG